TCGGACAGCAGCGATTCGGAACCAGGTTAGCTGACCTAGGCGCCCGCCGCGGTGGGGGGAGCGGCCTTCCCTGCAGGCTCGCACACTGTCTGGTCCTTCCTTGAATGAGATGCTGTGTGAAAGGCAATGCAGTAGCTATCTATACAGGATGTGATGCAGATCTGTCATGCCAAAGGCAGCCTGCTTCCTTACTCCCAGCAAGGCAGGACGGTCTCCTGGTAAATGTACTAGATTTAAAAGCAGACGGTGCTGCTTCAGCACTTTTTAGTCTTGAAAACTTTATTTGGGATATCCCAGTGCACGTCGGGTCACCCTAATGTTGTAAAGTATGTCCTGTTTGGACACCGGTTTCTGAGTTGAACTGTCATTTTGAATTAAGAAACCACTCATCCCAAAATTTGTAGAACTTATTTTTTCACTTTATCTGTTTAACAGATAAATAGAAAACTGTCTTTTATCTATAAAAAAATAGACGTATGATAATATTCTCTTATACTCATCCCAAAATTTGTAGACCATATTTTTTGCTTCTGTTTCTTAAAAGATAAATAGAATATTACCTTTCATCTATAGAAAAATAGGTAGACATACCATATTCTCTTGTACAGTTTGTCGGTTGTATTGAACCAGGTCACTCATGTTTTGTTTTCCGTTACTGGTTATGTAGCTGGCATGTGATCACTGCCTACCCCACCAAGATGCTGGCTTGGCAGTGCTCTTCTCTTTTAACCAAACAGCAAATGCAGATACAGGGCACTCTCTTCCCTAAAATTTGCTTTTTTGTAAATGTGATGTTTCTTGTGAGACTCAGTCCTCCTTTTTAATTAAAAAGAACCCTACCGAAACTCCAATTAGAGGAGTTGCTGCCATTTGTGAGGACATGCTTTCTGTAGTCCACAGTCAGGGTTTGCTGGCTTGCAGTAACTGTCTTCCTTTGGTTCTGTTTCTTTGGCTTTTCTATGGAGCTAATTGCTGCATTTGGTTTTCGAATTTCTGAGTACATAGTGGTAAACAGTTTTGTAAAATTCAAAAGAATTTTTACTTTGATTAGAATTTGTCATTCTAATACATTTTAAAAATCATTTAGAACTCTTTTATTATGAGGTATTTCTTATATTTGACTTCTAAGCATTAAACAATACTGGAAAAAAATCCAAGTTTCATTTAGCATTTTAAATTGTAACAGTTTACAATTGTAATTTCACCAATAAAGCGTTTGTGACCTAATAAGTTACAGCACTTTGTCTTTTATTTGTAGAATAAAACTATTATTCTATTTAGTTTGAGTTATTTAACCTTAAAAATTCAATGAATGCTTTGAGTGTTAGAAAAAAATACCACATGTAGTTTTTTGATGTAGTACTTTAATATTTAGAATTTCTTTCCTCCCCCCCCCCACTCAATAAGTAGCCTGACCTTGCTTTGTAGACCCCATTGGACTTGAACTCAGCAATCCTTCTGCCTTGGCCTCCCAAATGCTGTGAGTACAGGTGTGCTGTACCACACCAACTCTTTTTTTAATATTTTTTATTTATTTATTTTTTACATTCCAATCCCAGTTCCCCTTCCCTCCTCTCCTCCCACTCCCCCTCTTTCCCCACACCTCCCATTTGCTCCATGGAGAGGGTAAGGCCTCCCCTGGGAAGTCTACTAAGTCTGTCCCATCATCTCTGTTGAGGTAGGACCAGGGCACCTCTCCACCCCCACACCCTTGTATCTAGGCTGGGCAAGGTATCTCTACATATAGAATTGGCTCCACTAAGTCAGTTTGTGCATTAGAGTTAGGTCTTGGACCCACTGTCAGTGGCCTCATATATTGTCCCAGCCAAACCATTGTCACCTATATTTAAGGGAGTCTAGTTTGGTCTTATGCAGGTTCCCCATTTGTCAAACCTGAGTCAGTGATCTCTCACTAGCTCGGGTCAGCTGATTCTGGGGGTTTCATCATCATGGTCACTCCTTTGTTCATATTATTGTTCCTCCCTCACATTGATTGTACTGCAGGAGCTTAGCCCAGTGGTTGGTTGTGGGTTTCTGTATCTGCTTCCATCTGTTTCTGGAAGAGGGTTCTATATTCTCTGGGGTTGTGGATTGTAAGCTGGGTATCTTTTGCTTTATGTCTGGTATCCACTTATGAGTGAGTATATACTATATTTGTCTTTCTGGTTTTGGGTTACCTCACTTAGGATAGTTTTTTTTCTAGCTCTGTCCATTTGCCTTCAAATTTTAGGATGTCATTGTTTCTTACTGCTGAGTAGTACTTCATTGTGTAAATGTACCACATTTTCTTTATCCATTCTTCAGTTGAGGGGCATCTAGGCTGTTTCCAATATCTTTCATAGTACAAATAATGTTGCTATGAACATAGTTGAGCAAATGTCCTTGTGGTATGAATGTGCCTCCTTTGGGTATATGCCCAACAGTGGTGTTGCAGGGTCTTGAGGTAGATTGAGCCCTAATTTTCTCAGAAAGCGCCATACTGATTTCCACAGCGGCTATACAAGTTTGCACTCCCACCAGCAATGGAGGAGTGTTCCCCTTTCTCCACATCCCCTCCAGCATAAGCTGTCATCAGTGTTTTTTATTTTAGCTTTTCTGGTTGGTGTAATATGGAATCTCAGAGTGGTTTTGACTTCCCTGATGACTAAGGACCACACCAACTCTTAATAGAATTTTCTAGTATGTTACTTGAAGAAAATGTTTATCACCACCTCTATATTCTTAAAATGGTACAATATCTTTTCTTCTAACTTTTCAACAGAACAGCTCATCCTCAGAATTCTAATCTTAAAACATTGCTGGATTTGTATTTTATGACCAGTATTTGTGGCTGATGTTGTGTTTTTCAAAGAGCTTGTTTTGTTCTGTGGTTTAGGGACTAAGGCCAGTTGTACTGTACATACAAGGCAAGCACTCAGGGCTGAGTTATGTCCTCACTGAGTTTTCCTGGGTTGGTCTGGAACTTACTCTGTAGCCCAGGCCATTCTTGAACGTGCAGAATAGTTTTGTAAAATTGAACAGATTTTTGACTTTGGCTAGAGTTTGTCATTCTAATACATTTTAAAGTCGTTTAGAGCTCTTATTATGAAGTATTTCTTTTTGGGGGGGGGTGGGTTTCAAGACAGGGTTTCTCTGTGTAGCTTTGGAGCCTATCCGCTCTGTAGACCAGGCTGGCCTGGAACACACAGAGGTGCGCAGCACCAACGCCCGGCTGAAGTATTTCTTATATTTGGCTTCTAAGCATAAACTAATGCTGGAAAAAATCCCAGTTGCATTTATGACCCCATAGACTGGCATAGAAACTGTTTAAGTATGTATATTGTTAAAATAAAAGTAGCAAATTCTTTCTCCTCCCTTGGTGCTGGAGATTGAACTGGACTCTTTTTTTGTTTGTTTTTGTTTCTGTTTGTTTTTCTAGACAGAATTTCTCTGTATTGTTTTGGAGCCTGTCCTGGCACTCGCTCTGTAGACCAGGCTGGCCTGGAACTCACAGAAATCCACCTGCCTCTGCCTCCTGAGTGCCGGGATCAAAGGCGTGTGCCACCAACGCCCGGCCTTGAACCTGACTCTTATATAACATACCAGGCAAGCAATTTAAACACTAGCTGTGTATACCTCAGCTCCATTTTTTAATTTAATTTCAGACCATCTTATGATTCATATGACTTGCTACATTGAGATCAGTTTGTCTTCTCAGTGAATACTTTAAATTGTCTTTTGCTATTGCTAGAAATGGGATCTCACTATGTAGCCCAGGATAGACTCAAACTCTTGTTATTTCTCTTGCAGTCTCCTGAGTGCTAGTATCACAGGCATGTGTTGCTATACCTGGCTTGCCATTTATTCTTGACATTTTAATTATTTTTTAACATATAATCTATCTATTTTATTGGGAGAAAACCCTATTTAAGTGTATTATAAATTGCAAAGTCTAAAATGTAAAAAATTACATCTTTGCTTTCAATAAACAAATAAAGAATTGGATCTTTTAATACTTTAATGCTAATATGAATTTTTAATGCTGATACTAAAAACTTTAAAATAATGTAAGGCTACTTAATTGCTAGTGTGTAAACTAAAAACATTTTTACTTTCCTGAAAATAACAAAAATTTTTAGCAGGGTTGTAAATTATAAAGAAAAAAATAAGTCAGATGACATCAGTGCAATATTTTTGTAAAAATAATCAAAGCTCCTCTGTTGTTGAGTATGCATGTGACAGTCTCAAGCACTAGATGACAAATGTATTGATGTGTTGCCAGCTTTCACTGTTTGCTGGAAATGTGTTATTTGCCCCCCCACAAAGGTGAAAATCGGGTGTATTAACAAAAACATCCAATGAAAGTTAAACTAGCCATGATGGCACTTGTAATCCCAGCACTCAGGAAGCTGAGGCAGGAGTGCAGTGAGTTTTAGGCCAGCATGGACTAGTACTGACACCTTATCTCAAAAAAAAAAAAAAAAAACTGAAAGTATCAGCAAGATTTTATGTGATTTGTTTAGAATGGATACAGTTGGATGTCATGACCCTGAGAGTCTAGGTAACAAAGCAACTTCTCTGAAAGCTTTAACGTATATTCTTTCTTATTAAGCTAGCCCTTATTTTTTAATTTATCTACCTTTTAATACTGTCATACTGGATTTATTAAAATTAGCATGTTAATTATATTTAATAATGGATTTATTGGGACATTTTCATACATGTATATATTTGATTATCCTAACCACCACCTTCTTGTGTTTCTCTCCTACTCCTGCTCATCCTGTCCTCTTTCCAATTGTCCCTTCTGTGTGTGTGTGTGTGTGTGTGTGTGTGTGTGTGTGTGTGTGCTTAAGTGTGCATACCAGTGAGTTTGTGTGTGTCCCAGTGAGTGCCATTGAGGGTTTACCATAAAAACAACAACAAAAAAAAACCAAAAAACAAAAAACACCCGTGAGTCCCTTACTGGTGGTTACCCAGTGAGGAAAATATCTCTTCATTCCTTCCCTTTCCACAGCAGGGGTCAATGGACTCAACCCTGTGATT